AATTGGATGTTTTTTTCGACGTGAAGGATCACCAAGGTATTCTTCACATTTCCGGTTTCTCTCGTAACAATTTATAACCATGTCCCACTCTCTTTTTGAGAAAGAGTCACACAATTGACATCGACTGTTCTACTTCTATGTAAACCAGGCTGGACTTGAACTCTTGATGATATTCCCATCTCTCCTTCCTTGGTGCTGGTAATATTCCAGGAATGTACCTTTGTGGTGATATCTTGTTTGTACAAATAAAGTGTGTCTAAAGATCAGGGAGATGAAGGAGCAGGCCACAGCCAGATGAAGAGAGAGCGAGTTCCTGTTTCATGCCGCCTATAATCCTTTCTCTGCCCAGTCATCTCACTTCCCGACTCCACACAGCCATCTCACTTCCTGATGGTCTGTTAGCCAGTGGGAAGCTCCATCCTCTAATCGTCAGACACGCTTTATTTGTACAAACAAGACATCACCACATAACTCTATCCTCTGTGTCTAGTTATTTATTCTTCACAGTGTCATTTCAGCTTACATTGCTCTTCTCATATATATCTTTTTTTTTTCAAGATAGGGTTTCTCTGTGCAGCCCTGGTTGTCCTGGAGCTTGTTCTGTAGACCAGGTTGACCTCAAACTCAGAGATCCATCTGCCTCAGCCACTTGAGTGCTGGGATTAAAGCTGTGTGCTACCATGACCCTTAATGTCACACACTTCTCTGCTTTAAAGATGGTCCATTTTCCCACCATAAGCTTTTTTCATATGAATCACACCTGTTTACATTCCAAGTCTGATAACTCCAACATCTCTCTCTATCCTGAGTCTGGTTGTGATGCTTTTACTGTCTTTCTCCCTATGTTCTCTTGTTTTGTATTGTTGGCTGTCCTGTAATTTTCTGATGAGAGCCAAAATGTCATCCTGGATAAAAGGTAGTGACACAAATAGACCTTTAACAGGTTTTATATGACTATCCAGCTAGGAGTTTTGCTTTGCATATTGCCTACCATGTTGAAGTCAGAGTATTTCCTCTGCTATTCTTGTCTCCCATATTCTGGCTTTCCCTAGAGATTCTTCTGAACTGTGAGATTTTCAGTTGCACTCCCTTCTGATTCTATGGGGACTACACTGTGCTATACTGTGCAGGGGAGAAAGTTTAATACCAAAATCAAATCTCACTTTTTAGCCTGGAATCCTGGACCTTGGCCTTTATAACTATGTCTCTTCTTTATTTTATTTTGCCCTCTTGTATATATAACACACACACACACTTCAGCATGATTAGGAAGGTGGAGAGGTTTAACATGACAAAAACAATGAAGCAACAGGAATTTACAAATTTGTAACGTGTGCTGAGTAACATGGGGAAGGTATTGTGAAGCAGATAATCCATCCATCTGGGGACATGATCTTTGGGCCAGATATGTTGAATAGATCAGTTAAAGATGTGATGTTGAGGATGGTAAGAGCAAAACTTCTACATCCCATTTGCATTTTAAAAGGTGCACAACAACCTAAAGCTTATTTCCCCACACTAAAGGATATTTGCTTGGGGATGTTCAGTCCCTGCAGTCCAGGGTACCTTTATGAGGAGTGCAGGATGTTTGTACTGTTAGCTTGAGGATAATGCCTTATCTAAATAGACTTGGGCTCCATTAAGCCAATGCTCTGCTTTCCTGTTTCTTTTGGGGACTGGCTTCAACCCGTCAGCAGGTGTGCTGGAACAGGGAGGTTCAGATGAACTATATTTTTTGCTTTGTTTTCCTTGAGTCAATATCAAGTCGTGACAACAGCCATGACCTCTGACAAGCTCTTCTCAGCCAGGTTCCATTATTCCCCCTCAGAAGCCTAACTGCAGCGGAGCATAATAGGTTCTCACTTATTGTGTGATGGGAAGAAAAGTGAGGAGGATACCTGCTGAGTCTAAGTATTATGACACAGGGATGGAGCCTGCCTGAGAGATTGTGCAGAGTAGTGCAAACCAAAGGAGGCTCATCTCTTATTTTCTAGAAAAGAGTCAAAGTGAAACACACACACACACACACACACACACACATCCAGGGTGGTAGTGGCTTTCTAGAGGATACTGGTTTGAAGGCTTTATAGAGAATTATAGATAGATATAGCTTTTTAATATTTTATCCTTGATGCTGAGGATTGGACTTAGGGCCTTCAACATGCTAAGCAAACAAGCTCTCTACTGTGGAGCCTCAAGCCCAGGGGACAGTTATTTAAAAAGGTTCAATCCCCTTTCTACATATACAAAAAAAAAGCATTTTTCTTGATGAAAAATACAGAATCAAGAAAGAATAGAAGCTATCAGACAAACAAAACAAGGAGGAGGGGTATTTAACTTTTTCAATTATTATTAATATTTTTCATGCTCTGTATGAAGTGTTTCAGTATTCTATATCAACATCACCACAACCTTATTTTATGTGAATAAAGTAATTGCTTTTCCCAAAAGTATAGCTGGGATTTGAACTCAGGTTTCATTTTCACACCTGAATCCTTAATGACTCAACTGATGAGCCCAAAATAACCTTAGTAATTAGCATCCTGTGACCTTTATCTTCAGTCCAAAGAGGAAAGAACATTGTAATTGTAACAGCGCTGTGTCTTGAGAAAAGAACTCAAAAAGAGATCCAGTGTCTCTCCTACAAGCGAGAGAGTAGCAGAGCAGTTGAGAGTTAGTGGTCACAGGTCATAGACACATTTACCTAAGACTCCAGGTTGGTTCAGCCCTCAACAGTGAAGCTATTTTTCCCAGACTTTGTAAAGCACCACAGCACCATGGTCAATTCCTCTGTCCCTAAAAAGGGACCTGTCAGTAGATGATAGATGCTTAAATAAGAAAACTATATGGGCTCTGATCTTCTCCAGAAACATTTCTAGTTTAGTGATTTAAGAAGAAAGGGAGAAAGGATGAAGAGGAGGAGGAAACAAATAAATTACCAAGCAGAAATATGGTAGAAACATAAATTGAGTCCTAGGAAACAGACATGCTCCAACTTTATTGAAAAAATCTGCTTTTAAGAAAAAAATTAGCCTAAAGGGAAACCACTGTCATCTCACCCCAAATTTAGACTTAGTTCATTTCTAGAGGATACAGAATTGTCATTGTATTTTTATTTTTATCGCTAAATTTCAAGGAACAGAAATGTTTTAGTAAAAAAAAAAAGGTGTGTGAGTATTGGTACAGAGTCACCACAATACACATAAGGGTACCAGAGCACACATTTGGGGAATGCTTCTCTTCTTCCACTTTGCTTTGAGGCCAGGTCTCACTTGTCTGTCACTCCAGGCTAGGAGGCCCATGAATTCGAAGCCAGTTCTCCTGTCTCTCTTTCCCATCTTGCTGTGTGAAGGCTGGGAGTACAGATGCATGCCACCGTATCTGGCCTTTTATGTGTGATCTGGGATCTAACTCAGGTTATCAGGCTTATGTGGCAGGGCTTTTTACACAGAGTCATCTCCCTGGCCCGGCTTAGTAACTCTAAGATTACTTAGGGTGTGCTATCTGGAACACAATTTTAATTATCAACAGATCAATGATAAGATGGAGGGGAGAAAAGGCAACCCAAAAAGGCACCCTCAGAAGCTACTTTGTCCCACTATCCTTATGATGACCTCTGAGTGGCTAGGTTTCTGCTTTCAAACCGTGAACACTGGTGACAAGCTTGCAAAGTACTCAGAATGTGTCCTGAGAGCCGGCTCCATTCAAGCCCCTCTGCAGACCATACCCAACCCCACTGGTATCAAATCATTCTAATTTGAAGATTCTAGAGTACATAGCTTACATCTCAATTTTAATTTAGCCAAGACTTGTCTAACCTTGAACCAGCACCATAGTCATCTATCAGAGCTGTTCCAATTATATTAACATAAATGATGGCTAAATGTCAAAATTAGAACCTGTGTGCTGGAACACAAATGCAGATAGTTTCTGGTACTTCTTGTTTGCATCCTTTGCCCTAGGATGGCCGGCACAAAGGAGTGTTTGTTCTGTTTAGCTTACTCTCCAAAAGCAGAAGGCTGAGGCTCTATGTCAAGTCTACTTCCCTCTCAGGAAAAATACCGAAGTACAAAAGTGTTAACCAATGCAGTCAAAAGTACACGGCTCATGGGTCATAGACCTGTGCTCTGCTTTTTCTCAAAGCCTGATCCATATAACTGCTTTCATCAGTGTCACAGAGTCTGGCCACAGCCAGCTGCTTTAGTAATACCTGAAAGTTCTCAGTCAAGGTCTCAGGAGTCAGAGGGTCTGAGGGAACAGCAATCTGTGCTCTCTACAGTTAAGTCTTTAGCTGTTCCTTGTATATATTGAGTTCTCATCCACAATAATCCAGTCTTTAAACAAGCACAAAAGACAGCTGGAAAAATCCACTTCATCATAAAACCAAAGTAAAGTAGTTTCAAAGATTATGTTTGGGTTGGGGCATGACAGAGAATGTTTACCAGTTGGTGAGTAAGAGATAGGGTAGTTATATAACATACTCAGAACAAAGTGACCTTTTCTCTTGTCAAGGCCCATAATTAAAAGCTAAGAAAAATAATAGACATCCATGTTCCAAGGGACAAAATGACTAAAGCTTGGGTTGTTTTCTATTTTATTAATATTCTAAGTTATTAGTAATGTTTCTTGTTCATGAATTCACCTACTAATGTCCCATTTAAGGTGATCCCAGAAATAATGCAAACATATAACTCATCAGTAAGACTATACACACACACACACACACACACACACACACACACACACACACACAGCCTGTTATACAATCTATGGGAGCTAAGTCATTAGATTCCTGCCTGAATCTTTGTTACCAATTCTTCTTACTTAGGACAGACATACTGATTTTTATAGGAGAGTAGAGAGAGAGATACTCTGCCATATCTTTTGGGCTTCCTAAGCTGTTTATTTATAAATGCTGCTGACGCAGGGCTGGATTCTTCGGGTGACTATGTTGTCCCAGCTTGGAATAGAGGAAGTGGATAGAAAGTAACAGAAGGTACTTGAAATCAGCACATTAAAATGAGCCTTTATTACATTTCTATTATCCTATTTGCTTATAGTTTATAAATCACATAAAAAAGTATTATCAACATAAAAACCACAAAACTATTGCAGCTGATTTCTATCCCCACAGGCACCTGTCTGTTTCAAATACAACAAATAAACATTCTTTGTAGGGAAGTATTTTTGCAGTTGACTAGAATTCAGAATTTACTAACACCAACCATTACTGTGGTCCATCACAGTGTCATAAACAAAAATAAACACTTCAGTACAAGACAAACTCATCTTTATATATTTCTGAAAAACTACAATATATAATTAATAAGTTAAAAGACACACTTTTGCCTAAAATAAAAATACAGAACTTAGTGATCAGCATAGAGAACACGGAAGAAGTGAGAATGACCAGATCAATATATTTTGGAAGACAATGGAGAATCCTAACTTATACTCTAATATTCTGTTCATATACAGCTAAGAGCAAAAGGGAGAGCCAGCCCAGGATCAATCCAACGTTCTGCAGGAGAAACGTCATCCAGGGTCGTTGTGTTTGAACATGAGTCATTCCGGGAAGCTAAAAAAAGAACAAGAAACCAGAATAAGATCCAGATATATTCAACTGCTGAGAAAAGCTTGGTGGGAAAGCTTGAGTGACTCTGTTATTCAGAACTTAATAACCTTCAACATTCCCCAAATAGTTACCCAGTGTTTAGTACCTATTCTTGCCATGAGTTTGAAATGTAAGCTAAATGGGGCCACTTGCTGGTGGCTGGGAGGACTCTCACACTGGCAGAAGTCTTTTCCTTTGTTTTCAGAATATGTTTAAATGTGAGATAAGTAAGACATAAAAGGTACAATTTCTGATTGCTCCATTAGGCTTACGAAACATCTAAATGTACTAGCTTTGGTAAAGCACTCATGCTCATTTTCTGTCAAATAGAAGACCAAGGTCCCCATGACCTTTATAACAACAAAGAAATCATTTCCTAAAATTGTACTTTATTCTCAAAGAGACAAGTGGAAATAACTTCATGTCTATCAAATGTCATAGCACCATTTGAAAAGAAAAGTGTATCCAGGCTTTTGTAGAAAGAGCTCGTTGTGGTTGGGGTTTGTATTAGTTCAAATTCCTTACCCTCACAAGGTCAGAGAGAATATCATGGCATGATTGTTTCCTTTGGAATATGTAGAGACTCAGGTCAGTGTAGCCTGGAGCTCCAACTTAATGTCAGCATCACTGAGAGCCACTGTTGGATGCTTAGCTTTGTTCTTGATTTCCACTAGATGGCAGTTATTCTAGATGTCATGGGCACCTCAGTTCCTGTGATGACAATCAGAAATACCTGCTTTTCTAGTACTGTGGTAATTAATCTATATCTAGATCATATCAGCTTATGTATATAGAAGAAATTATTTATTCTTAAGAGCTTACATTTGGTGGCCTTCTTAAAGAATTAACAATATCAACTAAATTTACCCAATATCTTTGAATGTCAATAATTTAAAGCAATTTTTGGCAATTAACTCCAAAGTTAGGCAACACAATTGTATTTTATTTATATCACTCATGTGATTCGTATTTTAAATAAACTTATCTCCAAATACTGAGCTAAGATTCCCTATCTCCCTTAGTTTGCAAATAAGATAGTTGTCACTTACTGGGTGTGACTGAATTAGCAGCATGTGTCAGGCCTAGTGGCCTGTGCCTGCAGTCCCATCATTTGGGAGGTAGAGGAAGTAAAAGCCATCCTCAACTACATAAAAAATGTTTGAGGCCAGCATGGTTAGAGAAGTGAGACTCTGTCTCAAAAACTAAGTTGCAAATATCTCTTGCTGTTCTGATTAGCCTAAGCCTAGAGAGTTGCTGCTTACTTGGAGTGTCTCACAAATGACAGATCGGAATAGACCTGTCTGTAACAGCCACAGAACCTCCACCAGTGAGAAGTTCACTAGTCCTGTATTCTATGCAGGTGGCATCATGTTCAAGCAAACACCACAAATACTTCATGCTCCAAGAACAAAGTTCACACAGAATATACTTTTTAAATGCTTATGCTACAAAATCTTATGTACATTCTATTTGCTCTGCATATACCCTCATTTACATATCCTTCCATATGTTTCCTCTGCCTCCCTTGTTCGTCATAATCCTGTGAGAGATGAAATGCTTAGCTCCTTTCAGTTATGTGCAATCAATGTCTCTGGGAAGATAATAGCTTACCCATAGCTCTACAGATGTCATGCCAGATCCAGGACAGAGCCAAGTCAGCTCATTCAGGAATGGGAAGGCCAGTTCTACCTGAGATTCACCCTTGCCTGTTATGAAAATACCTTCCTACGTCATTAGAAAAAAAGTGGGAAATAACAGTATTAAAGGTGTTCCACTAGATAGAAAAACATCTGGCCACATAAAGGAAATGACAAAAATACAGGACAGAACCCAGATTCTGCAACATCTTTGCCACAAAGACACCATACTAGTTCCATGTTTCTAATACAAACAATGCAAATTAAAAATCTACAAAGATAGACGTCCTTACCCTGAAGATGTAAAAAGAAATGAAAAAGTCATGTTTTAAAAAGTTTTATGAGATTTTTATCCCCAGATGGAAGTTTCCATATTAATATGGAGGACCTGTTGAATGTCCCCTGTCCATTGCAAAAATGATTTCATAACAAACAGCAGCAAAATCGCTTTTGAAACAGCACTTGACTCATTTAGATATAGGAGTCATGGTGTTGAAGATGCATCAAAATGCCAGAGAATTCTACAAAAAGTCTTTTTAAGATAAAAGAGACAAATAAGAAATGCCAAAGTTCAAGTCATATCTGAGCATTCTTCTCAGCTCTCAGAGCCCACTCATCATCTTCCTCACTTCAGTCAGTATCTTTTCTAAGAAATAATGGGAATGAATTTTCAAGGGCGCATATTTCTCCCTATTTTGAAAATTCTTAACAAGAATTGAAATGCACAACCCTTGCCACCACAAGGCTTTCACGACAGTAGACTTGTAATGTTGTACATTTTAAATTCTCATGTGGTATACAACATAAAATAAGAGGATGTTAAACTATGGATAATTGATGTTATCAGTGAGGTATAGAGACAGGAATAAATTTTAGTAAAAGCATCTTGCCCAGAGATGCACTAAGAAAAGTGTTTCTTTCTGGCTCTGCTAGAAAAATTGAAGCCTTCAAGTAGAAAAGTAACTTTGTTTCACTACTGCATTTATTAAGTTTCTTGACTCAAATCAACATCTTATGCCAAAGGAACTTTAGTTTTCTGGGAAAAAATTATCTTTACCTAAAACGGTTCTTTTTTTTTCTATTGTCAATTTGGCTAAATTTAGAATCATCCACTCATGGGCATGTCTACGAAGGTGCTTCAGCAAAATTCTAACTGAGAAGACAATGTGACTGTGGCAGTTTACTATATGGTGTGGGATCCAGAACTGAATGAAAATGAGAAAGTGAACTGATTACCAGCATTCATTTCTCTCTGCCTTAAGACAACAGTCACAATGTCACCAGGATCCTCATGTTCCTGCATTTCTTCTCCATACAGTCAAAATGCACTATACAAAACTCCAAAAAGATGGAAAATCTATAATAAACTGATAAAGTTATAGACACCCCAGAATTAAATCAGCAAGAATAAGCAATTTAACTGGATTTTGACAAACATAAATATTGAATAAAATGTTAGTCTCCCAACAAAGACATTTCTAGAAATGGGTGTATTACTGCTTAATTCTGATCACATTTTGATAGAAGAGCTATTACCTGCACTCCTCAAAAATATTCCATAGCTTACCTAAAAGCCTCTTCCCTGAGGACTAACTATCATAGTATCCAAAGATTCTTTGCAAGCTACTGAGGGAGAAAATAAATCAACAGTCCTACATGCCTGTAAAGCCCACCAACCACGACAACATGGCAAGATGTCCTCAGTGGGGACAATGGTTGCCTTTACATCTTGAGGTTAATCAACAGGTGTCTAACTGGATTTAATTCTCTTTCAATAGGAGGAAATTCATGTCTGGTATTATAAACCTAACCAACTACCTATGTTTGGTGAAGTCATGAACTTACTGTTGCCACTTTCCTAAACACTTACAATTTCTAACTACATTCCAAATACTTCTTCTTATACCTAGAGATTAAAATAACTCTCCCTCCTCATCCAACAAACTTGCTTTTACAACAGACAAAGGCTATTATGGAAATTTACAATTGGCTAAGTACAGAGAACAATAGAAATTTGTGGGTATCAACCCCAACTGATAAATAAATAAAATATACAATACAGACCTTACACTTAAGGATCAGGGAACATTGTGGTAGAGGGGGCACAAAGACAGAGGATCATGTTGTCTATTTGGGACATAATGTTACCTACAAATGACAGGAAAGCTTCATCAATGAAATCTCAAGTATATGATCACCTAAACAAGACCTTCACAACGACAACTCAGCTGACATGCCAACATGGACGAGAGAAATCTCACAAGGCCCCATCCCTAAATGAAGAGCTATAGGCAATTAATAGCTGCTGAGGAAAGAGAATCAGTCTTCTGAAGTGATGAGCCCCCTGATAGGTTATCCAGTTCCAAGACGTCAGCTCTAAACACATGCACATAGAGCAGCATTAAGTGAACTCAGCAGGATGTGTAAGTGTGTGTGTTTATATATGTATGTACATATATGTCTATAGCAATAGTTAAAAGTTCATGAATTTGAGGAGAAGACCTGGGAGAAATTGGTAAGGGAGTGAGAGAACTGGAAATTATATATAGTACTCATGTATGAAATTCTAATGTATATATATTTTTTATTTAAATAAAGTCCCGTAGAATTGAGAAGGAACACTACCAAACTAGTTCTATGAACTTATAAAATAATTGATAAATGATGTATGGAAAAGAAACATAAAGATCATTTTTCTGATGGATGTAGATTAAAAATTCTCAACAAAATATCTGCAAGTCAAATTTGACAATACATGAAAAAGAATCATGTATGATGGTCAAGCTAGCTTCATCCCAAGGAGGCAAGAATATTTCAACATATTCAAGTCAATAAATGTAACATAGCACATATATATGTACACATATGTATGTTTGTGTGTGTGTGTGTTGAAATCACATGATTATCTCAAACGGATGCAGAAAAGGCCTATGGCAAAGCTCAATATCCTTCATGATAAAGTCCTAAAAATACTAGGAATATGTGCTGGTTGGGTTTTTTTTTATTTTTTGTTTGTTAATTTATCAACTTAACACAGCTAGATTTTCTAGAGTCATTTAAGAAGAGTGAGAAATTGCCTCCATCAGAACGGTCCATAAGCGAGTCTTTCAGGCATTTTCTTGATTAATGGTTGGTGTGGGAGGGCCCAGTACACTGTGGGTAGTGCCACCCCTAGGTATGTCCTGGGTTGTATAAGGAAGAAAACCGAGCAAGCCAGTGGAAGCAAGCCAGTAGGCAATATTCTTCCATGGTCTCTGCTTCTGTTCCTGTTTGAGTTCTTGTCCTGATTTCCCTTAAAGATGGGCTGTGGCATGGGAGCGTAATCCA